TTTATTAGGAATAATGCAAATTAACTCCTCCCTCTTTTGTAACAGGTAACCTATAGTCTTCAATGTCAAACATGGAAGTCAAACATTTGCAATTACACAAGGATTTTTTTTGTGTATATTTGGCTTTTTATCATCTTTTCTTTCACTTAACATGAACTCTTCCTCAACTTTCTTTGTCATTCAAGGGGCATATAAAAAGTAACCTTTTATATAGAAATTTGCTTCTAAACTGCTTGCGGTTTTGTTTTTTTTTTAATAAAAAGTAATCTTTTATCATTGATAAATGTTTTTTTTTTCTTAAAATTGGCTAATATTGTAGTATCTTTTTTTCAATCTTTTTTTAATACTTACTTTTTAAAAATTTTTTTATTTAAATAAAAACATAACTTGCAACATAATTTTGTCTAATTTTAATTATAAAAATTATTACATATGTGGGAGGACGAGGTTGAAAATGCAAATGAAATATTTGTACTTTATGTTATTTTACTTTTATATAAAAAATTTTTATCTTTAAAAAAAGTATATTCCGTCAGAGTTGTTAACAAGGCCAAAAGTAGCAAGGCCAAGGCTAAAAGTAGCAAGGCCAAGGCTAAAAGTAGCAAGGCCAAGGCCAAGACCAAGGCCACATGTTACAAGGCCAAAACCAAGGCCAAAAGTCACAAGGCTATATACAAGGCCAAGGCCAAGAGTTTTAAGGTCAAGGCCAAGAATAAAAGTTTCAAGGCCAAGGTCTATGCAAACATTTCAAGACCAAACACTTTAGTTTCTGCTTTATACTAAGGCTAATTATTAACAAAACTGTAAGTAGTAAGTGCTGTGACAATAAAACATTTTGTAAAAACAGACCAAGGTTATGCACATAATTCAATGAAATCAATAAGAAAATATGTATTTTTTTTAAGGCCGAGGCCAAAACAATCAAGGCTAAGGCCAATATTTTCAAGGCCAAGACCAAGGCCAAAATTTTTAAAGCCAAGGCCTCAAATTTTGGCCTTAAGGCCAGACTAAGGCCAACGTCAAGGCCAAGGACTAACAACTCTGTATTCCGCTCCTTTAATCTGGGAGGCTTAATAAGCCCTAATTGGCGTAAGTGCAAATAAGTGGGAGGCGTTGCAAAAACTGGCACAAGTGCAAACAGTTATAAGTGCTAATTGGCATAAGAGCGAAATAACAATTTGCGTTATGCCAATATTTGCAATTTTATATACATCAATGATGAATGCCTTCGGCATGAAACTTTAAGTCCCGCTAATCATTTGTTTTTATTCATCTAAACAAAATATAATTATATAGCTCTATTATTCAGTAATATTGAGCACTGTAGCACATGCAAGAGTCTTCGTATTGATATATCTAGATACTTCAACTTCGGTATCTATACAAATATATATATATATATATATATATATATATATATATATCCATATATATATATATATAATATATATATATATATATATATATCCATATATATATATAATGTATATATATGGATATATATATATATATTTGTATAGACATTGATATATAGAATATATTCGAGTTGAAGTATTTTGATGTATCAATATGAAGACTCTTGCACGTGTTACAGTGCTCAATATTACTGAATAATAGAGCTATATAATGTGCTTGTGTGTGTGAGTGTATACACACACACGCACATACACACAAACAGACCTAGACAGACGCACGCACAACTAGAAAAACCAAAAGTGTTTTTGATAATTGTGTCAAATGTATGTTTGGTTAATATAAAATTTTGACATATTTAGTGTTTAATTTAAATAAATGTTAATTTAGCAAGTGCTGAACTATGTGCTGAAAATTGGATTGGGTATGGAAGATATTGCTACCTTATTCAAGGCACAATCATCAAAGTTACTTGGTTAGAATCTTTTTCAATATGCCAGTCTAAAGGAGGAAATTTGTTAAGTATAGAAGATGAAGATGAAGATCTATTTATTCAAAATTTGATCCAAGACACAAACGAATGTTATTGGATTGGTATAGTTGTTATGTAACATAATTTCTACGTTTGTATTTTTGTATTTATATTATAAAAATTTTTTTTAAATACTTAAACTAAGCACTTCAGTCACATGACAAATTCCGTAGACAAAAATACGATGTTTTTTATACACAAAGCATACTTTTTCAGAACAAAGTTAGACTGATTTTTTTCATCTTTAATATCATAGTAAAAATATTATCTAGCTGAAAGAATGGTTTTAGTTAACTTTTTGCTATTATTTTAGCTTAAAATTATTTTGTTTGCGTTCTACCATCCTTTAAGATAATATACACGGTGATCAAAAATGCTTGACCCCATTCTGAATACCCATATCTCGGAAAATACTTGATGGACCTTAATGAAATTAAATACACAAAGTGTTGAATGTCACAAGTTTTGTTGGTTAAATTTACAAAGAAAAGTAAAAATATTTGTTGGTTCTATGACAGATATTCATAAATGTTCAATATGAGTGCCACCTGTGATTCTGCAAACGTCAAGTACGTATGCCAGCTCATGCCAAACTTACTGTAGCATGTCTTTGGTAACAGTTTTCAGTGCAGCTGTAATCCTCTGTTTGAGTTCTTTAATGTTAGCTGAAATAGGAGGTACAAAGACTAGTCTTTTTACATAACCTCAAAAGAATAAGTCACATGGAGAAAGGTCAGGTGATCGTAGTGGCCGTTTCAGAAGCAAATCATCTTCTTCTGTACCTCGACTGATCCATTTCTCTTGCAGAACCTCATTGAGGTAGGCTCGTACAGTGAGCTTCTAGTGAAGTGAAGAAGTGAAGTGGAGAACAAAAATACAAACTGTACAAGCTTATATTTTGTATAATAAAAACAAAACACAAAACTGGTGGAATAAAAAGACTTTAGATGAGCGTGACGCATGGCTTAAAAAGTCTTTAATTTTAATAAAATGAAAGATAAACAACGTCGTTTAGAATTAAAGTTCCAGATAAATGGAAAACTGTCTGAAAAACACAAAAATCTGAAAATAAAGGTTTTTCTAAAAAGCTAAATCAATTAATGAGTTGTTAAAATTGAGAACAAAGGTGTAGTTTACTTCAAAAGAAACAGATAATGAATGTTTTGTTAGGTGACACGTTAAAAACAGATAATATTGAGCTCAGTTAGATTTTATAGGTATGTTATGGAGGTAAAATGTGAATGATGAGAAAATAAACTTAACAAACTATGAGTTGTTCAATAATTTGCAATCGATTATTAAAACAAGGAGTTTTTCAAAGCCTACTAAAATAAAGGTTACTCTCATAGAAAGAAAAGAACAAGATATTTTGATTAAGAAACAGAAAAAACGAATTATGCAAAAAATTGAAGGATGCAAGTATGTCTCAATGAGCAAATCAACAAAAACTTAACATCTTGTTATTTATATTTTATAATTTATTCTAAATGATCTTTATTATTTTGTTGGGAAGTTTATTTAACAAAAGAGTAAAATTTAACATTAAAATATACTTTTTGTGTTCAGGTGAAGTTTCTAGAATAAACAAGTCAACCATTATTTTAAAAAAAAAAAAACTTGTTTGATCTGGTCTATGAAGAAAATCAAGTATGGACTTTTTTATTGCTTGCTGACCTTAAAAAAGGAAAGATTATCATATTGTAAATGCTTATTTTACAATGTGTTTAATTGTAAAATAAATAAAATTTGTTAAATATATATTAAATATAATATTTGAGAAACTTTAAAATATCTTAATGTAATGTTTTAATTTTTTACATTAATAATTTTTTAATAATTTTTGATAACCAGAAATACTATAAAATTAATTGAAACCATTGTAAAACTAGGTTAAAATTTTAAATGCAATAAAATTAAAATTAAGATTTCAGGTTAATTAACAAGATTATAAAAGATTAACGAGATTACAAAAGGGACTCAAGTGCCTACTTTCATTTTTTGGTTAACATTTTATTTGTTAATTAATTAAAATATTTTTTATGCTAAACTTTTAATTTTATCATAGGTCTTAATAAACGTTGGAATTACAAAAATTTTGTATGGTCAGATAATACATTCTCGCAGTTCTTTAATTGGGTTCCAAATCAAACTAGTGATAACTCTAAAAACGCATACTGCGTACAAATCAATTCAACTGGTTGGGTGAAAAAGGAATGCAATTATTTGGATGGGTATATTTGTAAAGTTAAACAAGGTAAAATATATAATCTAAGTATTTGTGTTTATTTGTCTAGTAGTTACCTTAACAGCTAAAAATTATTTAAAATAAAAATGTTATTGATCAAAATAAAATGTTTTTTTTTTGTCAAAAATAAAGTTACTTTGTAAATATATAGTATTATGTAATACAAGTCGAAACTTTAAATTCTATGCAAGCTTTTTAATGACTTTTTTTGACAGACTTTATTCGATAATGTTACAAAGAAATGGGTAACCATGGTTATTGACTATATGTGATATGATATAAATGGTTGGATAACTTGCCAAGACCAAGGACTTTACAATACATTCTTGAAGACAACAAAGACTTTAGCTTAGGATATAATGACTTTTTAATTTTTATCTTATTTTGTTTTTGTGTGAGGTTAGAGCATGGCCTACTATATTCACGGCCGTATATATTTTATTTTTGGGGAAAATGTTAAAGGGTGGAATTTTAATAGAAAAAATGCGCTGAATTTTTTATTGCTAAAAAGCAACTCAAATCCTAAATAATAGTTTCTAGTTCTTTAATGTAAAAGTGGTATCTGGGTCCTATGTTATAATTATTAAAAATAAAACCAAAGATTTAAAGACAATTGTGTAGTATTTGTTGGAGAGTTTGTACAGAAATTATTCAAATCAATATACATTTATATCTATGTATAATATATTTATCTATAATATATATCTATCTTCGTCTATATTTTAACACCATAAAAAAAATGCCAAGAAGTAGTTAAAAAAAATCAAATAATAGGTAAATTTTTTTCAATCTATATGAACATATGCTATTTAACTGGCATATTTGCAATTTTCACTTCATTTTTTTCATTTTTTAAATGCTTTTAAATTATTATTGGAAACTGAATTTATCAATAGTTTTTGTTTGTTATAAAAAATGCATTAATAAGAACTTTTGTTGAAATCCTAATTCTCCAACTTTCATGATTTTCAAGTTTTCGGTGCTTATGTAACAGATATGTTGATGATTTAATGACTGGAATTGATAGAGATGAGATTTCATTCTCAAATATATATAAAAAAGAATATATACTACAAATAAATTCTGCTAGCTGTTTGATGAAGCAAGTAGTTCACCACGTGATAAAAGTTAAGAGTTATTTTCAAAACCAATGTCTCCACATTTTAAATATAAAATTTTGTTTTAAATTTATTTAAATACTATAATATTTTAATTTTCTCTGCTGTTTTAGTTAACTAATATATTTCAATACATTTAAACCTTAATTACTACTATTATTTAATATTGCTTTGAAATTCATTACTTTTACGCGTACTTTTACGCGTACTTTTACCCATTACTTTTACGCGTAAAAACATTATTTGTACGCATAAAACTTTTTTTTATACTTATGTACTGAGGTAGAGAGGTGGATATTTAAATGTTCTAATTAGGAGAGCGGGTTCAACTATTCTTTAAACTATTCTTTAAACTATTCTTTAAAGTTTTTATGCTTTATCTAGAATCATAAGTTTTATTTGTCTTAACTATTGTCTGTTAATAATTATATTTACCTATTTGTTTATATTTTTAAAGTTTTACAGACAAAGTGCAACTATTTGTACCTAAAAAGACTGATATAGCCGTAGTCACAGTGTAGTTACCAGGGGTGTGGAGTCGTAAAAAAAAAGTAACGACTCTGATTCCAACTCTAAAGCAAAATTTTTGAAAAATTCTTTGAATTTTTTATAAAATATTACGAGATAAGTAAAATTTTTTTTTTGACAAATTTATGAAACGTTCTTTGAGGTTAAATATGAACATAAGATTAATTGAATGTTTTGTACATGCACCTGCAATACCGAGAAGTTACTATTGGAGTCGTAGTCGCCATTTTGTCAAGCGACTCCGACTCCACTAATAATGTCGCAGCTCCGCAACACCTGATAGTTACATACGACTAATTTAAGTAGGTATAGCGGGAGTGATGTGTATATTATTTTTAGCGCCAATATAATTTCATTTCAAGTTGTACAAATTAAAAATGAATTAACTTACAAATAACCTCCGAAAATATTTATTTTTTGATAAAATATAATTTTAATAACTTAATTAGTAATAAGTTAGTGTAGTGTTGTGGACGTCGCTATCTATTTTACCCAGTAAAATAGATAGCGACGGGTACACTATCTATTTTACCCAGTAAAATAGATTATTAGGGTTTTTTGCCTTCTGGAATCGCTTAAACTATAAGAATAATAGATTTTTTTTCTTCCTATTATCATGAAAGAGACTATTCTTTTATACAAGTTACTTTCGTTGTTAGCACCAACATACTCCTTGATATTGTACTGCTTTTTGTAAATACATTTTATCTATGATTATAATACAATCCGAAGAAATTTCCAACAAAGCATTCTGTTTTACGTAAACTTTTTTTTTTTTCAATTTTATTTATTTTTGTCAAGCAACCATTTACAGTTGAAGGTAATTTCCGATAGAATATTTAAAAATATTAAATACAAGTACATTTCATTATTTATAATAGTTACGAGACCAGAGAACCTGAAGAAGATAAAATCTTATCTTCAGTAACCTTTGGTAATAAAAATTGGAAATAAAAGTGTATTGTTAGAAAAAATCATGTAAAGAATTTTGATTGGTAATAAGTTCGATTATGTTCTTTTTAAATTTTTGAGAGGTATTTGCTTCTTTAAGTTTACCACTCAGGCTTGTAAAATGGTTTCATAGCATTGGTCCACGATAGGAAATGGGCTCGTAAAAAAAGCTCGTAAGTTTTGATGTACGGAAAGATTTTTTAAATTTTCCGGAGGATCGCGTGTTGCATTGGTTTAATGTTTTAGAGAAAATATTTTCGAAAACCTTCGGCGGTTTTTTTTTACTGATGTTGAAACATAAGTTGTGTAATTTTGAAAAAATATAGTTCATAAATATCAAGTGCCCTCATGCTTTTTAGAAGAAGTTTAGCTTTTGTAAAGCGATTTTGAAAATGAATAATGCGTGCTGCATGATTCTGTAGTTTAAGGAGACAGTCAAGTTTAGATTTATATGTACTGCCCCAAACAATATTGCCATAAGATAAATAACTATTTATGAATCCAAAATATAGTTGAGTTAGTGTAGATTTGTCTAAGATTCGTCTGGTTTTATATAAAATGCCAATACTTCGTCACATTAGAATTATATGGTTCTATCTGGCTTTTTTTATAAGAACTTAACTTTCAATATTTATTTAATACATGTTTTACAGCTGTTATTCATTATAATTATAAATTATAAGTTAAAAAATGATATATAATATATACACTTAAAAAATGGTATATAATATATCATTTTTGAAGGCTTATTTTTATTATTAATTATTAATTAAAACTTTGATTGTTAAATTCTTTCAACATAAAACAAGGCAGATAGAACCCTATAATTCTCATGCGACGACTTCTTGAGATTGTATTGCTAATATGTTTAATATGATCTCACCCGGATAAGTTTTTGTCTATTAAAATACCGAGTAAATTATTTGTGAATGAGCGCTCAATTTTTATGTTATTTATGTATAGCATTGCTAAGGATTTTGGAATAGATTGAAACTTTAGTTTAGAATGAAATAAGGAAAACTTAGCTTTATCAGTGTTTAAAGATTTGATTTTTGTTCTAAGTCATTGTTTGCTACTTGAAATAGAGAGATAATATTACTGTGAGAATAGCATAAAGTGGCGTCGCCTACAAACATAATAGTAGACATAGTATTTGATGCTTTATATAGATCGTTGACATTGATTAAGAACATAGAATCGTTAAAAACATTGATCGTTGACATTGATTAAGAACATAGATTAAGAAGGCATATTATTTAATGCTTTATATAGATCGTTGACATGATTAAGAACAGCAGCAGACCTAAGATGGAGCCTTGTGGAACCCCACATGATATTTTAAGTTCGTTTGTCTGAAAGCCATCATTTAGAAAAATAAACTGCTTTTGATCGGTTAAATAACTGGTAAATCATTTATGGTATTCATGGCTTACTCCATAGTATTTTAGTTTTTCTAATAAAATCTGATGGTTAACGGTATCAAATGCTTTTGACAAGTTTAGGAATATACCTAAGGTGAATTTATTATGAGAAGATGCTCCACTGATAACTTTAACAAGTTGCATAAGTGCATGTTCCGTAGAGTAGTTTGATCGAAAACCATATTGGTTATAAAAAAGAAGATTTTTATCATACAAAAATGTAAATACCCTATTATACATGATACGTTCCAGGATTTTTGAAAAAACAGGTAATACCGATATAGGTCGATAATTTGTAACCATACTTTCATCTCCTGATTTAAAAATGGGTGTAATAATTGCAACTTTCATTTTATCTGGAAAAACACCTGTTTTAAGCGATTTGTTAAAAATATCTAATAAAACAGCTTTAATAAGTTCATAGCAGTCTTTGATTATGTATGCTGAAATAGAATCATAGCCTGTTGCTTTATTTATATTTAAGTTTCTTATTGAATCATCAAGTTCGTTACTAGTGAGTTTTTTAAATGCAAAGGTTTTATCCGACTTCGATAGATAGCTCAAGAAAGGTGCAGGAGTGTGTTTAGTTTTATTGGCTAAGTTTGGACCAATATTAACGAAAAACTCATTAAATTCTGTTGCCACCTATTTTACATCAGAGATCTGTGTGTCGTCTACAGTAATCACGCTTAGTAAGACTTTGTTGTGTTTTTTTTTGTTTTCCAAGAATCTCTTTAATTGCATCCCACGTTTTTTTCCAGTTACTTTTTAGTTCTAACAGCTTGTTTTTGAAGTATGTAGTTCTGGCTATTTTTTTAGTTCTTTCATATAGACGTTTGTACTCTAAGTAATTATGCTTGTCACGTTCTTTCTTTGATTTAATAAAGCGTATATATAGCTTTTGTTTTCGCTTTGAAGACTTTAGAAGGTTTTTAGTGAACCAAGGATTAAGAAGTCTTTTATTTTTAATACGGCTTGTTTTATTAGGGAAATGCTTATCGTACAAATTGAAAAATTTATCTAGGAAAAGGTTGCAGCTGTTATTAGCATATGTCTCGAGAAAAACAAAGTTCCAATTTACAGTCGATAGCTCTAGTTTAAACATATTTTTTGCTCGGGTTGTAAAGATTCTTTATTTGAAGTACCAGTCCTTTTTTAGTATATCTTTTGGTTTTTTGAAAATTGCAAAGACTGGAAAATGGTCGGTTATGTCACTTCTAATGATGCCTGATTTAAATATGGAATGGAAGAGTGTGTTGGTGAAAATATTGTTGATTGCAGATCAAGAGTTTTGTGTTATTCTTGTTAATTTCTTTATTATAGGCATCATTCCAAACTCATTAAAGCAATCGTAAAATTGTTGTACTTTATTATTTTCACCATATTTAAAATTGTTGTACTTTATTATTTTCACCCAACAAATAAAAATGAGCGGTCTTTATTTTTTTTGCATGCTATTTCAAAATAATCACTTAAGTGATTTTTAAAGTTATTTAAACATCCGTTTGGTGGTCGGTATGTAGTTGTTACAATAATACTTTTAGATGACTTATTGTAAATTTCTAAAGTAAAAGATTCAAAATGCGACTCAGAGAACGACAGGTCATATTTAATTTTATAAGTAAATTCATCAAGCACGTAGACACATATACCACTGCCTGTTTTTAAAGACTTACGTTCAAAACTAATGGCTTTGTAGTTGGGCAAAATTAAATTAGAATTTTGATTAAATGTTGTATCTAAAATCCAGCTTTCCGTTCAACAAATTAAGCTAAAGTTAAAGTTAAGATTA